AGAGTTTAGGGCTGTTGTACCTAGGGTCGCTATGAGTCGCAAGCGACTCAATGGCACATAAAAACAACAATAGCTAGTGATCTTGAGCATTTCTTCCTGTCTTTGTGGCCATCTGAATCCCTTCCTTGGTGAAGTGTCCTTTCATGTCCTTTGCCCATTCTATAATTGGGTTGTTTGTCTTTTTCTTGCTGAAGTGTTAAGAGTATTCTAAAAGTTTTAGAGATTAGTCCCTTGTTGGATGTATTACTGCCAAATATTTCTCCACATCTGTAGGTTCTCTTTTATACTATTTTGAATAAGTCTTTTGATGCACATAAAGATGTGATTTTTAGAAGGTCCCAGTTGTCTAGTTTATCTTCTTTTGGTTGTGCATTTTCAGTTATATTTGCTAATATATTTATGCAATTAGGACTCCTAAGTTTGCCCCAATTTTTCTTTCATAAACCTTATAATATTAGATTTTACAAGTAGGTCCTTGATCTGTCTTGAGTGTGAAGTGCAGGACATGGTAGGCCAGGCCTGTACTCCCAGCTCTCTGGAGGCTGAGGCTGGAGAGTCAACTCAGGTCCAGGAGTTCTAGTCTGTAGTGCACTGTGCTGATCCAGTGTCCACACTAAGTTTGGCATCAATATGATGACCTCCTGGGAGCAGGGGACCACTGGGTTGCCTAAGGAGGAGTGAACTGGCCTAGGTCAGAAACAGAGCATGTTAAAACTCCCATGCTGATCAAAGTAGTATGAAGAGTATGGGTCTTGTTTCAATTTTCTGCAAATAGACATCCAGTTTTGCCAGCACCATTTGTTAAAGAGGTTCTCTTTTCTCCACTTGATGAGTTTCATCATTTTGTCAACAATCACCTGTCCATGACTGGATGGATTTACCTCTGAGTTCCCAATCTGTTCTGTTTGTTTGTGTATCTATCATGTACCAACACTAAGTTGTTTTGATTACTGTTACCATGTGGTAGACTTTGAGATCAAGAAGTGACCTATGCAATTTTTCTTCTTCTGTAACACTCTTCTTACCTGGGGCCTTTTCTCTTTCTATATAAAGTTGATGAATACTGTTTTGATCTCTTTGAAGAATGATCTGAAGTGAGATTGCATTATATTGTTAGTTGCTTTTGGTAGTATTGACATTTTCACAATGTTAAGTCTTCCTGTTCTCCATTTGTGTGTAGATCTTTCTTTTTTTTTTTAAATTTTTTAATTTATTTTTTTTTAGATCTCTTTCTTATAGTAGTGTTTTGCTGTTGTATTTTATTGTTTTGCGTCTTTGTATTGGTCTTTTGTACCTGGTTGCATTTGTTCCTATATATTTAATCTTTTGTGTGGCTGTTTTAAAGGCACTGTTTTCCATATGTCCTTTTCAGAGTTCTCTTTGTAACTCTGGAGAAATCCATCTGATTTTTTGTTGTGTTGATCTTTTACCATGCGACTAATTGAGTCAGAACCAGTAATTTGATTTCTGAGTCTGGGAATTTCTATATATAGGGTCATATAACCTGCAAATAGAGATAATTTTATTTCCTCTTTGCCATTGTGGATGCCTTTTCGTTCCTTTTCTAGCCTTGTTGCTCTGGCTAGAACTTCCAGTGCAGTATTGAAAAGGAACAGTGATAAAGCTAGTTCTCATTCACAAGAGAAATGCCTTCAGGCTCCATTGAGAGTAATGTTGGCTGTTTTGTATACATACTTTTAATATGTTGGAAAAATTTCTATTCCTATCTTATTGAGTGTTGTTATCAGAAAAGATTGATGACTTTTGGCAAGTGCATTTCCTGCATCAACTGGGATTATCACATGGATCTTTCCTTTGTTTTACAGGTGTGGTAGACTATACTGGTTATTTTTCTAATCTTGAACCATCCTTGCATACCTGGTCTGAATCTTGCTTGATCCTGATGAGTGATTTTTATGATTTTAGTTTATAGTGGCTAGGATTTTGTTAAGAATTTTTGTGTCTATGTTCATCTGTTTTTTGGGAGCTCTGTGGACCTAGCGGTAAGAAGCTGTGCTGCAATCTCAAAGGCACACAGTTCAAATCTTCCAGCTGCTTCATGGGAGAAAGATGAGCAGTTGCCTGTGCAATTAACTGCCTCTGGAAACCTGCCAGAGGGTCAGCTATGAGTCAGTTCCGACTCGACAGGACACAGCAATAACTTGTTCATGAGGGATACTAGTCTATAATTTTCTGAGTGGTGTCTTTGCCTCGTCTTGCTTCATAAAACTAATTTGGTGATATTCTTTATTTTTCTGTCTTCTGAAATACCTTTAGTAAGATTATTATCAGCCCTTCTTTCTCTGATTGTTTGATAGTATTCACTGAGGAAGCCATCTAGACCGAGACTTTTTTGGTTGGTAATCGATCATTTTATGCTAGGGGGTTTTTTTGTTGTTGTTTTTTGGGTCTTTTTTTTTTTTTTATATGGCTCTTTTCCTGCATAGATTTCTCCAAGTTCTGCTCTCCATACATCTGCTTTGATCCCTGACTTTGATGTCAGGTGCTTTCCTCATGGTCTGCTGATCCTTGACACTATGCCCGTATTTTAGAATAAAATGCTGCAAAGGCTGATTAGACACTCTCATAGGTGGGCTTAGTGGGGGTGATTTTCATTATAAACTCACCTAGCAAGAAAATTTCTGATGTCACAGATTTGGGAACTTCCCTTCGAACTGGTCAGATTCCTCAAATGACACTAATTTACCCTGACACCTCATTGTCTAGGCACCAAAATTCTGGAAAGAATCAATAACCCAAGAGTCAGCAGACGAGCTGTCTCCTAACCTCTGTTTCGCCAGCAGTTGCTCTTGTCCTCAGGATCTGGTCTTACTTTGTGGACAGACTTAGTTTTACTCCAGGATAGACCTTTCTAGTCTCTGTCCAGATGGCAGTTACGTAGCAGCACCCGGAGACAAGGCCTACCCACTGACGTAAACTCTGACGAGATCTTCCTGACCTTCACCCCATCTGTATCCCCTTGTCCCTGTTCTCCCCATTTCCGGAGACCTGAGGGCTCCTGTGGAGTAAACCAGGTTGCTCTTTGGTGACCCCCCTGCCAGCTTAGCATAAGTCTGCCTTGGCTCAGAGGAACCACTTACCTCCTCACTGCTGCTCAGTGTTCTCAGTTATGTTACTGTTCCTTTTCTGTCATCTTTGTCCTCCTGATGTTTGTTATTATTTTAGTTTTATTTATTATTAATATTGCTTATTAATGTTTCTTTTTCTCTTATGTGTCAGTGTCCTTTTTTAAAAGTTATTTAGTAGGGTTTTGGGAAAGAACAGAGTTCCATACTTTTTTCAGTCTGTTATCTTTAACCAGAAGCCATGGCTTTTAGAGAAAAGCAAGCCATGATTTTTTATTTTTTTACAGAGTAAATGGGTTAAATTGGCTGGTTTTTTTTTTGTTTTTTTGTTTTTTTAAATTTTGTGTGCGTGTACCGTCAAATGAGATCTGACTGGTACGGGAGGATATTGCGCCTCCTTCTCCGGCAGAGCGTCTGGTGGATTCGAACCGTGTTCCTCTGGGATTACAGTGCAGTTTCTTGCCACTAGGCCACCAGAGCTCCCCGGTTTTTTTTAACTTTAAATTGTTATTGGCTTTGTTTTGGTTTTTCAAGACAACAGAAATTGTCCTTGAATGGCACATGCTTTGTGGGAATTGAGACTTGAGATCGACTTTGGAAGAGTGTAACTAGACTTCTCAGAGCACGAAGTAAAATTCCACTCGGCTTTTGCCTCACCTGGGACGCTCCCTGCCTCCTGAATGACTTGCTCCTAGAAAACTCGGAAGCTAAGCTAGTAAATGTCTTTGTGTGTGTTTTTCAGATGGTGCCTTCAGATCGAAGCCCACTTGCCTTCCTGCCCTCAGAAGCTCAAGCCCAAGTGTCCCCACCACCCCCTTACCCCAACCCCCAGGAACTCCACCAGCCTGTCCTTCAGCAGCCTCGCCCCCAGGAGCCGCCTGCTCAGCAGCCCCAGTCAGCCTCAGCACTGCCTCAGTCAGACTTCCAGCTCCTCACGTCCCAGGTACGTCCTTGCAGGAGCGTTAGTGAGAAGCAGCCCTTATTTTGCTGTAAGCCCCAGGCTAAATGGTCACCTTATTCCTTGAAGGGCTCATCTTTGACCAGCTTCTTCCCAGATGTGGGCTTTGACCAGCAGGCCATGAGGGCAGGCCAGGCTTTTCTTCAGCAGGTATGAAAGTGTCTTGTCCTACGTCATCCTCTTTGTGCGTAAAAGCAGTACCGTTAGACCATTCAGCATGTAGGGACCGCAACCAAGGCCTGAGGCAAATAGACTCATTACTTCAGGTCATTGGCCCTGGGTGTGTGCTGTGGCCTTGAGTCTCCCTTCTCCTTCAGAGCAAGTGCTGGCAGCCTTACTTAGTCACGTTGCAGCCAAAAAAAGAACAAGTGGAAGAAGAATTCTTTGCTGGCACTCTGGTTGTAGACTGACAGTCACTGACACTGGAGAGGACCATAGGTGTCCCCTCATGCTGAAGGACCTTAAGCTGGGGAGTGACTGGCTGAGTTAGAAGGCGACATGGGTTTTGTGTGGCCTCCCTGAAGAGCTAAGCCCTTTCAGGGAGTGGGATACAGGGAAGGTGGAATAGTCTGGCCTAGCCATTCGCTTTGGTTTTTGCGTTTCCACTCCATAAACTGACTATTTTCAGAGCCAGTTTTCATACTTCCTAGAAAATGGTGGAACTCCTTTTGAGACATTTTTCGAGTGTTTGGAAACTTGATTTCAGGAAGGACATCTCTAGTAGGCCGTGAGTCTCAGCACCTGTCAGAGGCTGTTCTGCATAGAAGGCTGCTCCTCCTCTGTGCACGAAGGAGAGGGTTCCACCTTGTCATTTATCTAGACACCGAACAGCAGAGCCCTTCACCCCCTGGTCACAGACGAAGACTTTGTAGGGCTGCCATGGTGGTAGTTTCCCAAAGGGCTTCCTGTGGATGTGGGAGACGGGGTGCCTGAGGCCATAGAGAGCCCTCTGAAGCCCTCGGCTGCCCCAGGATGGCACAGTCGTGGGCTGGGACAGTCACCTGTGCTGAGGACCTCAGGAACCCCTGGCCACAAACACCTACAGCTGATAAGAATATCCTATATCATATAGATCATCTTTAACCGCACAGCACTCCAGGGTCCTAGAAGGATGGGAGAGAAGGCATTTTTTATGTCCGCTTTCATTCTGGGAGCACATTGTATGACTCAATTCATTCACTCCTTGGAAAGAGGAGTCATTCTTACAACATGGCTTTGATGTTTCCAGGCACCCCTTGTGCAGCAAGGTCACCGAGAACCACAGGACTCGTTCCATTTGAGATCCAACCTGTATTCCAACTGCGGCAACTTCCCGAACAACATCCTGACAGGTCAGCAGGCCACTTCAGCTGCTTCTCTTCGTTTTTCTAAGGTTTATTTTGCTCTTGTAGAGAATGTTCACTGTAAAACTGTTTCTAAAGTACCTTGCAGTGGGGTTGATTATGTTCTTGGAGTTGTGCTACCATCTCAGGCTCAGTTTCTGAGCTGTCCGTTCCCCATTAACATAAACTCCCTGTTCCAGAAGGTTCCTCCCAATCTTTCAACTTGACATTGTCACTTTAATCTTATGTAGATAGTTCTTAAAATAGCATAGTGCTCAAGGCAGACATTTCTTACTAGTTAAGCTAAACTATTATTTGGCCTTAAGAAGACTCCGAGGGGATATTTTCTTTTAAATTGAACAAAAGTTTATTAATCATATTAGTTTTCTATCCAATCATTCACACACATTTTATTTTATATTAATTAAAATTCATTAGTGCAACCAATTTATGATAGAGCTCTGGTGGCCTCATGGCAAGAAGCTGCACTGCAACCCCGAAGGGATGTGGTTGGAGGCCACCAGCTGCTCCCGGGGAGAAGGATGAGCAGGCTCCTCCCCTGTGATTACTGCCTCTAAAAACCCGCTGAAGGGTCAGCTGTGGGTCGGTTCAGACTCCACAGTACACAATGACAATTACTTAGAGCGTCTGATCAATCCGTTAGAGTATATCACCTGTCCCTTCACATCCCGCCTTATCTATTTGTTAATTTTTATTCCCCTCTCCCTCCCTTCCCATCCCTGGTGACCATCCAAGATTGATTTTATCTGTGTGTAAACCTACCCTTAGCTGTTTATATGTAATAGTAGTTTTATGCCTTAATTGGCCTTTTGTAACTGACTTGTGTCGCTCAGCACAATTTCCTCTAGATTCATCCTTGTTGTGAAGGGTTTCATCCTATTCCCTCTCATTTTTCAGTGATATGTAATACTGTACAGTGTGGATGTACCATAGTTTCTCTAGTTCTTTAGTCATGTGTCCATTGATGGACACTTGGATGGTTTCCGCCTTGTGTAGATCAGTTTGTTTCAGAGCTCGTATTTCTTCGTATATATGCCTAGTAGTGGGATTGCTAGTGTTTCTATTCCCAGCTTTCTATGGAAACATCAAAACTGCTTTCCATAATGATTGTTTCTTTGACATTTTAAAGATTATTGTTTGTGGTCAAGTTGGAATTGACCCATAGCTGACCCCTCTGGGTTTTCAGGGGCAGTAAATCACAAGGGAGGAGACTGCCCTTCCACAGAGCATCTGGTGGATCCAAACCGCCTGCCTTTGGGATTTCAGTGGAGCTTCTTAGCACTAGGCCATCAGAGCTCCCTTTTAAAGATTCCTCAGGGCAATAGTTTCAGAAGTTTGTCTCCTTTGGCTTCAGAAAGTGCAGCGTTCATTAGAATTTTAAATTGTGTTCAGCATTTTCTACCTTTTGATCACGATTCTTCTCTAGAATCTTTGATGAAAAGGTTCAGTAATGGTAGCTCGTTCTTTTGGTCTCCCTAGTTCATGGACCCAGTTATCCACGCATCCCATTTCCTCCTCCTGTTCCTGGCTTCCCTTCTTCCTCTGCTGCTCTGAAAGAGTAGACACCAGTTGCCCCTTGGATCCCCTCAGCCTTGTTCATGTTTTTCTTCTGCTCAGTTTTTACAGATAGTACTATACAGTTGTTTCACACAACGTAAAAGGGAAGGTCCTCTGACTAAACTTTACCTTTTGGGCATGCAGCTGATGATGAGGGTGTGGATGGTCACAGGGCCTTTGCAGAAATAGACCTTTACAGGTGATTGATGACTTGTCCCAAGAAATAAACTCTGTACAAATGGAGTCGTGGAACTGACAGAAAGCATAGCTGTTCAGAGAGCAGCCCTGGCCCGGCTAGGATGAGGACAGGAATAGTGTCATCTTGTGTTCTCTTAGTAGAGGGCCCACTGTGGCTTCTGTAGCCCAGGACCCTCAAGCTTCCTAATCACGTTGTTGTTCCCCCTTCACTTCTCCTTGCAGAAGACTCAAGCACCAGCCTATTCAAAGACCTCAGCAGTGCACTGGCCGGCATGCCCGAGGTCAGCCTGAATGTGGACAATCCCTTCCCGCTGGAGGATGAGCTCCAAATTGAACCCCTGAGCCTGGATGGACTCAACATGCTAAGTGACTCCAGCATGGGGCTGCTGGACCCCTCTGTCGAAGAGACGTTCCGAGCTGACCGACTGTGAACAGGATTAAGCAGAACAGGAGGATTTCTTTCCGAGACAGCCAGAATAGAACGGAACCAGCTATGCACCTAGGCTTAGTTAACTTGGGCTTCTGACATGGAACAAAGTGATTCCAGTGCACCAAGCTTCCAGTTGAGGCCCTGTCTCCCCATCATGGCTTCTTCTGCTCTGCAGGACCGCGTGCTGCTTCTCAGGCCTGTGGACCAGCTGCTATGGGACTTTCAGTGGCCTTGACAGCTCAGCTCCATGGACATTTCCCCCTCAGCTGACTGGTGTGTAGAAAGCACCAGGTAACCGAGGCCTTGGCAGCACCAGGCAGTGCTCAGACCACTGGTCTCCTCAGCACTGAGGGAAGGACCTGGATGTGGAGGCAGCGCTGGCACAGACCTATAGGCCTGGGCTTAGAATTGCAGCGGTACCGCAGCCCCACTATGCCCGGCCCACCCAACAACCATTGCTGGCTGGAGCCCGGGCATTCCAGCAAGAAGCCATGACTTGCTCAGATGTCATAATTCCTATATGAAGAAGAATTGTTACCACAAGTCCAAGGATAGGCTTGGGTTCGGCAAACCGAATGCTAACTTGTTTTCTCCAGTTTGTAGCCTCTTTTCTGCTGCTTCTGTTCACCTTTTCCTCATGGACAGGAGGGAAAGGAAGACTTCAGTCACTGAGAAATACATCCCCCAACAAGCCAGTAAGCCTCTTTAGAGGACAGTTCTCACCCTTGCGGCTGAGGAAGAAGAGGAAGGGGCTGTACGCGGGGTCTTGACGGAGGCACAGTGTCTTCTGGATGAGCACCTGCCTCCTCCCCGCAGACCAGCCAGAAGGGAGAGGCTGCAGGGTCTAAGTCACACCCACCCAGCACCTGAGCTTCCCGCTCCACAGGGCTGTCTGTCCGGGCTGGGAATGCTGATGTAACCCCACAAGACCATCCGCTCCTTGACGGCAGGACTGTGCCTTATCATTGAACTCCAAGGACTGAACAAGTGCCTGGCACGGAGCAGGTGCTCCATCAGTGATGTTGAATGTGTGAGTGAGAGAGTGAGTGAGTCTGCCTCATTGTAAGGCGGTCAAGTCTTTAGACATCCCCACATCTTGCCATATCTTCAGAGAGCTCTAGCTTTTCTAACACTTGAGCCTATGGGTAAGCATGCACTTTAATATGCTGTCAACACTAGGTGACCAAATCCGTGGTTAGACGGGGCACGCGTTCTCCTTGAGGTGGAAACGCTGAGTGCCCGCAGACAGGCTGGCCATGCCGAGGCCGCCCAGGTACCGGGACCCCAAGGGAGTCAGGATCTCCCCTCTCGGATCCGAGTTTCACTCTAAAGTGCCTAACATGAGATTCATTCTTTGAGGTTGAAGAGATAGTAAAATGAAGGCCTAATTCATGAAACCATCACTCGCCATCAGTACTTTCACATGAAGGAGTTTTACCAGACACCGCATGCCTCCTTCTCTGGCCAGTGCCTTGACCAGCGTGGGCTAGACCAGCCGCCACAGGAAACCTGACAGTGAGTGTGAAGGGAATAGAGGGGGAGGAGCCTGCTGCTCCCACAGTGAGAGAATAGGACAGCAGGGCTCAGAGAGACAGGACAGAGGGGAGGAGCCCTGATGGAGAGGTGAAGATGCTCGCTCTGCTGCCCAGAAGCTGAAGGTGGCTGGCCTGCCCTCCCCAGAGAAGCAAAACTGCACCAGGAGACCTTAAATTGAACACATCTGCACTTAAGGAAGGGGCCCTGGTGGCATAGTGCAAAACATACCATGCAGCTAACTGAAAGGTCAGTGGTTTGAATCCACCACCTCCATTAAAAGAAGATGGGCAGTTTTTTCCTGTAAAGATTTAAGGCCCCAGAAGCCCTGTGGCCAGTCCTCTTTCCTGTAGGGTCACTGGGGGTTGGAGCTGAGTAGACAACAGAGGATTTCCATGGGTCCTTTAGGGCAAGAAGCGTCTGGCAAAACCCTCTGCTGGTTGACCTGCACAGACCTCCTGTTTGTCTCCTGTCTTCTGAGGGAATGACTGTCACCTCTGATCTCTATGATAACCCTCATGGCGGCTTGACCCCCTTCCTCAGGAACCCAGGTGGCCCCGATCCAGTCAGCCAGAATCCTGGCCATTGGATCAGGAAGCCAAGCCACATCCTTCCTTGTTTAGGCCCCCCATTCCCAGTCCTTGCTCCCCGTTACTCTTCCAGGTGCCTTTCTGCTGAGACCTCAGGATGGGTACTTTCTGTTAAAGGGCTTTCCTTGTCAGCAGTGAGTGGGCAGAGTCCTCAGGGCTGCCTCCCCAGTGCCAGAGCCCAAGCCCTGGCCTGGCCTTACAGGAAGTGGGGGACGGGGGATGCTGGAAGAGTCCCAGCAGATCCTCCCTCTGCACAGTGCCTTTCCCTGGGGCTTCACGGTCCTGGTGTCGAGGTCCCGACTTCCTCTGTCTGCACTGCAGCCTTGCCTTACAGCTGGAGCCTGCACCCTGCTCCTTGAGGACCACGCAACCCCGGGGCTCCTTAGGGGGCTCAGAAACCAGGTGCCCAGGAGAAGCCATTTGTTCAGAGGCCAGAATGATGGCATGCACTTAGCCCTGAGTCCCTAGGCCCATGAGTCCAATCTTTGGGACGGTTTTGGGCATTAAACCACCTACTGTGCTTAGGTGCCTTTGGGGACACTGTCAGGCAGGTGCCCCTCATGGGCAAGTCTGCACTTAGTGCCACCTCTGCAGCTAGCTGTCCAGCCCCAGGCGCTTTAAGTGGCTACTTACTCAGAAGATGATGTTTCCATATATAGTCCTGTCAAGAAATCAATCAAGTGGTGTACTGTTCTCATTTGTTAGTTACAGCATGAAACTAAAAAGTATCTGATTTTGCCTTTATCCCCCCCCTTCCTGTATGGTGTGGTGTTTAGGTCATATGGTTAGGAGAAAATGTTCTCTTGATCCTGTCAAGATCAACATAAATCCTCCGTTGTCAGGTTTCGTTCCTCCTGAGTCTACTGTATATTATTATCTGAGCTCAACGGTTTCGTATTCAAGTCCATCTGCATGAACTTCCCGACTCTGCCACTAGTTGGCGCTTCTGATTGATGCACAGATGGTTCCGAGGCCCGCTGGTGGCTACGCAGATGGACCAGCTTGCAGCTGATCAGACTTCCAGCCAGTGTCCTAACTCCCAGGCCCCCTTGTAAACAATATTTAAAGATCAGAATTTGTATAAAGTAGCTTCCAAGTTTTTTTAATGCATCATTTTACAACTTTCATAATTAAAAGCTGCACAATACGATTGTACCCGCCTGTGGTGTCGTCTTCAGCCCTGGTGGGTGGGGTGAGCTGGTGGGAGCTGGTGGATGAACTATTGCATGGATCCACCTGCTTCGGGGGTTCTGGTTCCAGGCCCGGTCGTCAGGAGTTCTTCTTGCACACTACACCCCTTAGAGAAGCCCAGAAAGTAGAGGCACGTGGTTCCTTTGAAAAAGTAGGTACCAAGGGCTGAGGGCACCCTGGAAGCTGCTCTGTTTGCATGGTCTACCAGCACGTGTTGGGACACTTGCTACTGTCCCGACCTAAAGACCTTAGGATGCTGCTTCCAGCCCCCACCTGCTCCCCTGTGGGACTGTGGCAAGGGCTGCCATACACACACCCTCACATGTGTGTTCATGTCCCCGGCACCCACGGGGTTTACACACTACCCACCACACACCGAGTCTCCTTCAGAAACCACTTCCTCAGCCACACCCAGGGCTTATCTGAAAGGTATCTCTTCTTGTGAAATCTTACTCAGAAATCCCTCTGTAGCCCTAACTTCCTGAGCCACCACTTCTCACAGGTCCCCGGTCCTCTCCCAGCCTCGCCTCCTTTCCCATGGCCTGCTCCCCTGGCTTTAGGCGGTCCCTCTGCCATACTCTGGTCCCTGTAACTCAAGATGAGCCTAGACATTTCCACTGCCAGGAAAAATTGATAACCCCAATTCTCTCCCGCCTTCCCGGGCAGTCCAAACTTCCCTCATCCTCCCAAACCCTCTCTTTGATGGAGGCTACCCTCTCCTCACATCCAGAAATTCCAGGCAGTAGTCTCCCACCTAGGGAGCTCTGGTGGCTTAGGGGTAAGGAGCTGTGCTGCCAACCCAAAGACAGACGGTTCAAATCCACCAGCTGCTCCTCAGGAGAAAGATGGGCAGTCTCTTCCTGTGCCCTTTACAGCCTCTGAGAACCAGCTCTGAGTTGGTTCTGACTTGGTACATAACAGCCATGTCTCACCTGGACTCCCTCCTTGTCATTTACCCATGAGCCAGCCTCAGCCTCTCCTCAGAAACGAGTGGACTTGACAAGTTTTAATCTCTCTGCATCTTGGTGCCCTCATCTTTCAGATGGGAACTATAAACATCCCCATCTCACTGTGTGGAAAGTGAAATGAGTGCATCAAGTTAAAGTACAGTGTGTTTCCTCCCCCCACCCCAGCATACATGGTTGTATATGGAGTTAAGGCTCATGGAAGCTAACCAGAAAGTCAGTGGTTCAAACCCACCAGTTGCTCTGAGGGGAAAAGATGAAGCCGTCTGCTTCTGCAATAATTTACTACCTTGGAAATCATGAGGCAGTTCCCCTGATTACTGTAGGCAACTGAGCAGGAATCTTATTGCCAACTCTGGGTGGGTTCTTCCATGTAGGCACTAGATGGAGCTAGCGACCTAAGAGTGCCTTTTCAGACGCGGATACAGCCAGATTGAGCCGCCTCGCCCTCTCACTTGCCATTTAGGTTCGCATTCGGCAGTGCTGGTTAGAATGCAGTCCTCTGTCTAGAATGTATTAGCAAATGTCGGCAGTGACCACTCCTCAGGGGATACCAGACACCGGTCATCACACCTTCCTCACAGGGACTTGAACCTGGTGAGGCAGCACTGCCTTCCTGGGCTTTACAGATAAGGAAACAGTCCCCAGAAAGGCTCCCCGCTCCCAGCTGAACTGTAGGGGTCCCAGGACGGGACCCGAGTGGGCCTGACTCAAGGTTTCTA